GTTTCATTGCCGGTGATTCTTATGAAATGTGTTAGATACAGAATTAAATTTTGCATCGCATGATACGCTACCGAGTGAACAGACGAAGTTCGTATTGGAGACAGTGTTCTGCTGAACGCTAGGTGGGTAGACATACTCATGATGGATTTAGGTGGAAAAACGTTTTCGTCCCTTCTGATCCTCGATCTTTATATAGGATGATATGAGAGTAGTCGATCTAGTGGAAAGTATTATTTGATATCAGTATCACGAGTAGCTGGACTGATTTGAAAATGAATGGGAGATCGAAAGGCAGCCTATATTGAGCTGAGATTATTAAGAGACGCATGTCGCTATGTGCTCTAGCCAAGGGGGAAACGGCGGACTTGAAGTAGATAAGTACGTCAAAGTAGACTACTTGAAGTAGCTCAAAGTACCATCCAAGTAGCCCAAAGTATGAACAAGTAGCTTAAAGTAACTTCAAGTAACTTCAGTTAAATTTGAAGTTGAAAAATACTTCAAAGTAAGCTACTTCAAGTAGCTCAAAGTAACTTCAAGTCCAAAAGTCCGACGTTTCCCCCTTGGCTCTAGCTCTAGTAAAAATGTCAGGTCTCTATGTTATTCACATCATGAGTTATGAAGCATCAAAGGTGCCCCAAATATGAATTTTTGCTCATATTGGATGAGTCATAAAAAACTAGAGGCTCAATATTTTGAGCTGAAAATTTTGATGCTGGCTATAACCTATGAAGATATGTATCCATAAAAAATTTCAGCTTCATCTGTAATACCATTCTTGAGATATGGCCCCGTCAGGACTCCTTGGTCGAAATGCTGATTTTCATGTCTTTTTGTACAACACCCATAAAATAACGTTTGACATGAAGAAATGAATATTAATTGTTCGTTATTTGAATACCATTGGTAAAAATGGACATTTTAATCGAACAAATGCAGTGAATTTAATGTTTAATCAATTTCATAGAATTATTTTGATGAAAATATTTTTTTCTTATGAAATTGAAATACATTAAAATTAATGTTTCTTTCATCATAAAAGTGTCATTTTTCTGATTTTGTGATTCTCTGGTTTGTATTCTTTTTTTGTTTTTGAAGCATTGAGTCAAATTTTTATAATATTTTTCTTATTGTTATTGAAAAATAATTCCCTGGAAACACAAACTTATTGTCAGTTGACTTTTTAATGATAGAATATATATCATATAAAATTTTAATTTATTCTTTAAGTTAACTTCATAATTGACAAAAGTTTGTTTCATTCTCATCACTTCTTTTTAGTTTAGTTATGTCTAAGATTGTTAATGTGTTAATCGAAATAAAACAGATAAATTTTCTTCTGATTATTTCTTTTTAGAAAAATAACAAATTATTCTTTCGTCATACATTGCACTGTTTTCATGTTTGTTTCAGTTCTACATGACCAGAAAAATTTTGTCCAACCAAAAAATCTAAAACAACCTTCCATTGTACCTCAACTGTTGTATTAATTTCATATGAGAAGATGAACTGTATTTTTGACTTTTTTTTGTCACATGATTACTGGTTACATTGCGTCAAGCATTCGTTGTCGTGCAAGACAGACGTTTCGTTTTTCTTCCCTTTTATTTCACGGATCTTCAGCAGAAAAATAAAATATATGACCTAATATTTATAACAAACACCTTTGATTTTTAATTATATATCGTTTATATAAATATAACGAGCTATGAAATTTTTGCCAACAAACATGATCGAACAGCTCGAAGTATTTATAATGGTTCCCAGTTTATTGTCACTGTATTAGTATGTTGTTATGGTCTAAAAATATTGCATTATATTGTCCTTGGAATATTAACAATAGCAAATGTATGGTTGGTTAGCTCGATTATGTGATGATATTCATTTATCATATCAAGTAGATGTATTTACTATTTATTTTCTTGTTTAGCAATTTGTTTATCCTATTTATCAATGGTGTACTCATCAACTATCATGGCCTGTTCTCATTGTTCATCAAGGATCAATGTGTTTACTAACAGCTATCATAGCATTCATATTGCATGAAATCTTCTTTGATTATCAACCTTCAATGAGTATTGTCATATTTTGGTTTATAGCATTTTATGATGTGTAAGTCAACTTTAATTCCATCTAAAAACGTATCGAAAAAAAAAGTCTGATTTATTTTTGTTTTTATTACTCACAACATTCATAGTTCTAACAAATATTTTCAATTATTATTGAAGTTTATCTTTAAAGTTAAATAGAATAGAAATTTTCAGAATGTAAACAATGATACATTTCAAATAAAAATCTTGTTATTAAACATTTTTTAATGAAAGAAAAAAAAAGCAATAGATATTTGTTAGGATTATAAGATCTTTTTATTGCAGATTGTGAAGATGGATAATTTTTCTTTTAGAATACCTATTGTTAGAAACTAAGAAATAAATCTAATAGAATAATTTTTTTTCTTCTCTTTCATAATTGTTCATTTATTATTGATTATTTATTCATACACAGATATGCATGTTTGCATCCTCGTGGTCGACTTCGTATTCAGGGTAAAAAAATGTGGGCAGAAATTTCAAACCCAAAATGTTCAACATTTCCATCTTTTTGTTTTTATTCACATGACATTGAAAATGAAATAGATATGATCACGAAATTTCAAGTAATTGGTGGCGACGATTTTGTGAAATACAATTGGCTTCTTCTATGGTTGTTATCACCATTAGTATCATTAAAAATTCAACTGTATATTTTATTTGACTTTATTATTTGTATACAGATCGGTATTCATCTAATGATATAGATTGGAACTCGTTTAGAAGTGGAGGATATGCCGGGAACACCTATTCCTATCATTGTTATTTCAGCATATGCTATCATCATTGATGTTATTACTCAAAACTCTAATGTAGATTGTGTGAAAATTATCGAATAAATAAAGGTTTTTTTTTGGTCTTGGAAATAAATTCATTTTGTTCGATTGGATTATATATTTATGAATATTATTCATTGTATTTATTTCATGGGAAATATTGATTTTTGAAATAAAAATAAATAAAACTGACTTTTGAAAGTATTTCTCTAGAACTCTAGAGATTCATCAAATGAAGTACTTAGGGCATACCAAAAGTGGTGGCGCCGACTCTGTGATATTTTAAAGAAGACTTTAAGAAATTTTTTCTCTATATATGCTGATAGCCCAAGTCGTGTTCTATAATTCTGTGATATTTCATAAATCTTCAAACAATATATAATATTGAAAACAAAGCAAAAACAGTAAGTGGTTCACAAAAAAATTTTTTTTTGAAGCACGTTTATCAAGCTTTTATTACATCAAATGTTCGAAGTAATCACCATGGTTGTTTATACATACCTATATTCGTTGAATCCATTTATCAAAAGTTTTTTATACTCTTCTTTTTTCAACGACTTCATGAATTTGATCACAGCTTCATGCAACGATTCGGGATCATCTTGATCGCCTAGATTTTGTTTGATTAAAGTAAACAACCAAAAATCGCATGAAGCCAGATCTGGAGAATTAGGTGGATGTGGCATCATTGTTACGCTTTCGATAGAAGATAATTGACTACATCTTCATGAATATGTGGTGGGTGTGGGTGAGATAACGACTAAAATCCACACCCCAAAACTTTAGTAAGACAGTGATCAGTAAAAACGTCCTAACCAATAGTTTCATTGATTATAAATGAAGTGTTAATACTTGATCAGTCACACCCTTTCCACCTATGCTCATCAGGAATAGGTTTTTCTATTTTTTCAATGACAATACATTTAAATGCAACTTTTAATTTGACACTAGACACGGAGTCAAATTGAAGTCAGAATAGGAAAATTCAAATGTAGCTGTAGCATCAGTGAGAGACGCGCGTCTTTCACCATTCATTATTGAAAGAGCTCTTGATAATTCGAAAATGTTTCATTACCAATGATAATATATATATATATATATATATAGGGTGTTACAACGTAGATTTATGATCGATGCATTCAAAATACTTCGGCAATGTTAATTGGATTAATGGAAAATATCTTATTTAGTGAGATAATATAAATGACAAGAGACAGTAGTTAAAGGATTATATATATCGAAAACTGTTTTTCGTAGTTATGATTTGCTTGAAAATTATCAAGAACTGTGAAGATTCGTTAAGTTCTTAATTGATTTTTTATATGTGACGCAAAAAGTCAAAACCAATATGTGCTTACAAAATACGATCCTTCATAGAGTTATTCTTTGTGAGAGACTTGTTTTAATAGTTGTGTCTCATCCTTGATTCAAGGCTTAAGCAAACTCATTTAAATATGTTTCCCTCCTAGTTGCATGCACAAAGACGAAATGAGTAATTCAATCTATCCTACATGCCAATGTAGTAATCGACTATCTAGGAAAGTTTGAATAACTTCTGTGAAATGACATCACGTTCACTTAAAATGCAATGTTAGAAATCGGTGTCAATCGTTGGTAACTGCAAGGTTTTGAATCGTGAGACGCAACGGTGTGAAATAATAGATTTATAATTAATTGTTTTTGAACAATCTTATGGAACGTAACAAAGAGTTTTATTGATTTTTTTTTCCTCATGAAGAATTTCTCACTGAGGAGATCTTAATTTAAAGAATCTGACATAGTCTTTCGGATTTTAGCATATAAAATTTCTTTTTAACTCATCGGAAAACATATAAGATTTGAATAAAAAAACATTCCTTCATCATCATTTCTCTACGTTGGTTCTGTCGGCAGTCGCCTATTATTTTTTTATTCGCTGTCACCATTTTGTAACACTGGCGTAACAATGACGGTGCAGTATTTTTTCTTCTGTTTCTCTTTCCACCTATCGATTGACCATAATCAAGCTTCCTACGACCATTGAAATGCAAATATGCAACGATGACAGAGCATTTTTCTTCACCATTGTTGTTACGCATGCTTAAATACACATTCATCTGCATATATACGTGTGCTTTAATTTTTTATCGATGTCTCAATGGGTTGTTCATCAAGTGTTTCTTCATCGCAACCAGTTCACAGAACGAACAATATACAAGTAAGTATTAAAGAAAAGATTGATTTTCGAATTAACATATGAAATGTTCGATTGATTAAAGTCATCGTATGATACAAGAGGTACGATCGTTGTATATGGCATGATACAATCGCCTGCTACTCAACGTATATTGGCTACGTTGATAGAAAAAGGTCTCAAATTTCAATTGAAAGTTATCAATCTAAAGGCCGGTGAAAATCTGGTAGAAAATAAACGATAATTGTCTCATTTGTATGCGTCTTTATCGAATAGAGTCGTTCCTATTTGGAAAAACAACCATTTGGTACCATTCCAGCACTTGATGATGTCGATGGCTTTACAATCTATGGTTAGTTGATATACTAAGAGAAAACTTACAGATTCAAATGAATAATATTGATCGAAATTTTGTTTTCATTTAGAATCTCGTGCGATTAGTCGGTATTTAGAAATGAAATACAAAGACAAAGGTACCGAATTGATTCCAAAAGGCAACATAAAAGTCGAAGGACTTTTTGAACAAGCTGCATCAATTGAATTGTCTTATTTTGATTCATATGCTAATGGTATTGTCACCGAACGAATATTCAAAAAGTAGGATAATTAGATCTGCTTTTTTAATTCTTTTTATCCGTATTTTGTTGCCTAGGATGCGAGGTGGTGAGCCAGATATGAATAAAGTAGCAGAACTACGGCGAGATTTGGCTAAAAATTTAGATGTTTACGATCAAATTTTGTCAACGCAATCATATCTGGCCGGAAATGTAAGCGGAAGATTTCTACAGTCAATAGTGTCATAAAAAACAAATTTGTTTTGATTAATTAGATGTTTACTCTTGCTGATTTATTCCACTTGCCATTGGGTTCACTGCTTCTAAAATGTGGTGAAGGTGAACTATTCGAATCTCGATCACATGTCAAGCAATGGTGGAATAAGATTTCAACGCGACAGGCATGGAAAACTGTTCAAGCAATGGCGTAAAATTCAATAATACGGATATAAAGGCTGTCTATTTCTTTTTCTATTTTGTTTTATAAAACAAAAGAATCTCAAGACAAAATCTATAGTCAATTGAATTCAGAACTTGTCTATGGCATTGGTGAAATGTAAACATCAATGTGTTTCTTTGCTGATCATATTTCTTGTGCATGAACACAATGCAGAATCACACAAGTATAATCGAGAATGCAAATCATATTAAAACTTGAAAGTCATCAACTAATATAAAAAATGAATCATAAATTTTGTTAATCATAACCAATATGGTTTTTAACCTTCTTATATTATATTCTACAAAGGCAATAGGAAAAACGATCAAACAAGTGTACAGAACTGACACGGATGAGAGACGGGGTGTGGGTGTGGAGTGTTGAGGTGGGTGAACCATCTGAAGACTATTACTTACATCCACATCCACACCCTCATCCATACCCGCACTCTTCAAGCATTGACTGGTGTTGTTAATAGTAATTGATATGGATGCAATAGAGTCTGTTGTTGCTGAATGGCATAGTCTCGATGAATGCCAAATAATTGTATCACGAGTACTAGTTAAAAAGTTACAAAAGACTGTTTCGGATTTGTATATATTATTATAAAGGAGATAGTAACAGAAAGCATACATCTTGATTATTTTTATTACAACAATACGTATAATCGCCAACTTTATCATGAGCATGAAAAGTTTCAATATGTAGACATGGGCTCAAGAAAGTCAATTTGGATTTCACCATACGCAAAATGCAAAAAACCAGTCTTCAGAACATATGCAAAATTATCCTTGCTCATTAGCGAGTGGTTCGAATTTGAAAATGCAACATTAGTCTGGTGCCCAATATAGACAGCATATTTAAACAATGTTTAATGTTCTTAAGATATTCGAAGACCAATATATGGATTTTTCCAAGGAGGTAAGTGAGGTACCTCAGCACCCAATTTTACTACCAGGTGTTGAAGGTACTGAGGCACGATCATACATATTTGGAATTAGACTGGATGTTAAAGTGATAGCCATGAATGAGAGTCGTACTATTTCAATTCAATTTTTTCAACAAAGACAAGGATATTTTTCAAAAACAACAATTTTTTATAGAGCTTAACTAAAGGTTTTTGGGACCGAGGAATCCGAATCTGTAATAGGTTTTTCGAAACTTTGGGTATAATTTTTTTCAAAAGAAAATTTCTTTACTAAAAAAACACCCTGTTTTTGCTAAAAAGTTATTTTTTTGTAAAAAAATTATTTCTTTGTTAAAAAACTATTTTTTTGCTAAAAAAGTCATATTTTAGCTAAAATATTCTTTTTTTTTGTAAAAAAGGCATTTTTTTGGTGGAATTTAGTTTTCTAATAAAAAAATGATTGTTTTTACAAAAAAATAATTTTTTAGCAAAACTATGACTTTTTAGTAAAAACATTTTTCTTGGAAAAAATTAAACTTCAAATTTCGAAAAACCGATTACAGATTCAAGTTCCTCGATCCCAAAACCCTTTAGTCAAGTTTTATAAAAAATCATTATTTTCGAAAAATAGCCTTGTCTTAGTTGAAAAAATCGAATTGAAGTAGTATGACTTCTACTCATAGCTATCACCTTAATTTCTAATCTAATTTCAAATATGTATGAGAGCTTCAGCACGTGCAGTACCCAAAGGTGCTGAAGGCGCTGCAGGTGCCGAAAAGGTGCTGAGATATTGTGGGTTCCAAACCTGTACTTTCTCGTTGGATTTTTCCTACAAGATTCAAACTTTTCAGCAAGAAAGATCCAATCAGATCTATTTTTGGCATTACCAAACATAAGATCATTCGAATACTGAGATATTCTTCTCTATTCCAATATTTACGAATATTTTATCAACTTTCTTCACTCACAGATGATCTATCTAGAAAAAAAATAACCAACTTATTCTATCTTCACTGCCATTTAGTTTCTGAAAAACGAATACAAATATATTATCGAATCCAACAGATGGTGAGCATGCATGATATAAATCATCATTGCATGAGAATAAACATGCATTTTGTCAATGTTTGTATCGATTATTTCTTTTTGGTCTGTATTTTTTTCGATCCATTGCGTGATGTACCACGAGGGAAAATGAAGAAGACAGAAAGGAAAAAAACGATCAGAGGTTCGAAAAAATGCATACAGGTATCTATTGATATATTTATTTGCGTTCTCTTTCTCATTTCTTCTACAAGTTTGAATCTCATTAAGAAGAAATAAGTAAATCATAACATCGTCACACCTCAACCAGGACGTGCACATCGTATTTTTCACTAGATGATAAAGCAGCAAGAGGATGGATGACGATGATTTCGACCAAGTATCTCAAATTTTATTTGATGGCGTGGATTCTCTTAGTTATATTGGCCAACCCGGAACTCTCATTCCAATAACAGAAAATACACGTGCTGTTCTGTGCAGTGAAGACTTTAACAATGTGATCATTGTGGCCACTCGATTCGGTCAAGGTCGATGTTTAGTATTTGCGCACAACAGCTATACGAACATTTTTCTTAATGATGAAACAGAAGACCAAGATTTTGTTGAAAATTGTCGAAAATGGCTCGCTCGAGGATATGATGCTGAATTCGTATCGATCAACGATGCAGATTCGATGGATGATGTGGCACAAGATGATAAAATACTCATATGGAATGGACATGACACAAAGAATGATGTCTTTATAAGTGACCTAGTTAGTGCAATTATTTTCTCATTATTAATCTGTTGAATATCATTGTATTTTTATAGTGTGCATATTTAGAACATGGGGGAGCTCTGATTTGTGGAGCAACTGCCTGGGGTTGGCTGCAAATAAACGATGACAAACTTCTCTCGGATTTTCCATTCACACGTTTCTGTGACTATATTGGTGTGAAAATTACGGACAATTATATTGATTGTCCCAATCCGATTCCTTTTCAACCCGAGTTAGTAGCATTTAAAAACGTCTATCACGTTGTTCAAAACCTTGTCAACGATCCGAATAATATCAAATACTTGACCATTGTTGCGTCGGCCATCAAAGATGTGGACGACAAACTGTCTTGTGTACCGGTTGAAACTCTACAAACTATTGTCATGAATGCTAATCGCGATATCATTCCATCGAGTAAATGTCCAATTCAAGATGCGTCGTGTCGAGAACAATCAAAAGGTATCTGTAGTATTTTGTGTGTATTACCCGGCATCAAGGCTCCAAGTAAGTAAAAGAAAGTCATCTAAGACGCTACGTGTAGCGTAAGATTTCTAGGTGTGATGGATTTTCCCGGTGATTTCGATCAATTACCACGGATTGAAACAAATATTAAGTGCCATATTCAATCAAATTTCAGTGATTGGTTTTCTACAGGTATGAAAGAAGATATTCAAACTGCTGAATGTTTCAATGACTACAAATCGATGTGTCTTCGTTTTCTCTTAGGGTACTATGTGGCTGCTGGCATTCCCATTCAGATTGAAGTATTGAACC